AGAGGATTAATGCTTTTTGTTGCAGAAGGGTTTAATTAGAAAAATTGAGAAACAAAAACCAGTGTCTTGTCACAGGTGTCCCACAGAGCAAAATAGACAGTCTCTGAAAGTTAACATTGGGGAATACATAACTATATTTAAAGCAACAAACATCACTGTGCTTTTGATTTCTGTTTACCTTTTAACCTGGAGATATGTTTTATGGGTCTTTACTCTTCCCATTGTAGGCTGCAAAGAAGTGTAGATGGAATTAAGTTCCTTGGCTTTATGGAGTAGCACACAGTATGTCAGCTCAAAGAGTGAGGTATTTTTCAGTAATTCTTAATATTCATGTGAAAAATGGGGTCCATCTTTGTAAGCACCTTTTTTTATGATGAACATTTTTGTCATAGGCCTGGCTGATGGTAAATTCATATGTGGTTAGTATCTGTGTGAAGTGTTCCCAGATCATGGAGCTGAGATTTCAGGTGTTTTGGTGACCCCTATTTTTGCTCAAAGCAGAACATATACTTTTACCTTCACAAGTTAAACAGGAAGAGTGGCATCTCTCACAGACATTGTTGTCCTTGTTTCCATAGTAGTACTGAGGACAGGAGCTAACACATTCGTTCGTAGAGTGCAACAGGTAAAAATGCGTATTACAGGAAACACAATCTGTGGCTCGAGTCCCCATACACTCCTTACAACTCTTGTGGCATCTCTCGCATGATCCAGTGGAATTTTGTGCAAAATACCTGGGATAGATCAGATAGGCATAGCTTTGCATAAAGGCCAGCAGTGACACCAACATTTGTTTAATCCTTAGCTTTTTATTGTGATTATATAAATTTTTAAAGATTATACTAAAGTGAACACAGCTATTTGTAATCTCAGTAAAAATAGAATTAATTTCATTCCCTTTGGCCATTGGAATTCAGTTACAAAGCACGACTCTGTGTAGTTTACAGCATAAATTTCTAAAATTTGGGTTGAATTGAGATATAAAGTATTGAAGTAGGGAGAGTTTGTGTGATTTTGCTGAGATATGGTAATTAGATATGGTCATTAATGAGATATGGTCATATCCCAGTAATGGGATAGACAGCTAGTGTGATCCATTGAATTCTTGTTTTAAATTAAATGGACCTGAAAGAAAAATCATAGTTTCACATTCTAAACTTGAGTTTCCTAAAACTGAATTTCCCAGAACACTGAATTCACATTTTGAACTTAAATGGATTAATGATAAAGCTTCTCTCTAGAATTATGAGTGCTCAGTTCAAAGTTGTTTTAAGGGTTGTTTTTGTTATCACTCACTATAAGCATTAACTCTATGCAAAAAAAAATATAACTGTATCCAAACTTTTCCTTCTTACGTGGAGGCCACAGTGGTGGTTGGAAGCTCTTCTGCTTGTGCTCAGGCTGACTGAAATATAACTTAGTATACTTGTTCTGGTTCGCACTGTTCTGTATAGAACTAGCCAAGAGCATCCTCTGAGCATGTCCAGACCACATCTAAGCAGTTCCCATCTGGGCACTAATTTTGGAGTTTTCTGTGTTGAAGGGAGGTTTTCCACCTCCCTTCCCAGTAGAATTAGAGGACTGAGATAATACAAGAGATTTTCTCCTGGAAACAAAACTCAGTTCTATTTCACACTAATGTGGAATGATGCAGTGATCTAATTTCTCAAAGTTCTCTCTGTGATGCAGGTCTTAGCAAAAGATCTTGGGCCTTACCCTGCTGGACATTGGGATACACATCCTTTTCCTTGTCTGTACCAACCCAGTTTGCAGGAAAGGCACCGTGAGCTGTGTTTTCCAGTGCAAGTGTCACAGGTGCTGTGGCATGCAGAACATTGTCTCTCTGTGCTGTCAGCGTAATATCCATCTGGGCATGTTTCAACACAGGTTCTGTCTGCAGAGACAACAATGCAAAATAGCACATCATATTCAGTATTTGCTGCTATAAAACATTGTATGCAGCTGTACTAGAGCAAACTATCAGCAGGACGTGCTGACAGATAATGTATCAGAACAAGAAAACCCAGTATTGGGGTACAGTAATTGTTTTTTGATTGTCAATTCATTAGTCCTCATTTCTGTGTTTTATGCATATTAGCAAGCTCTTCACAACAGGCAAGCTTTATCTTTTTGAAAAATAAACTAGCATAATAATGAACAGCAGATGTAATTTCCTTTGAATAATCAAAATAGTAAGACAGCTTTTTATCTGCATTGCTGTTTTCGCTAGATTTCACTCTAAGCATCAGTCTAATTTCATTCAGTGTAGATGATGCATCTGATGGTAATTTGAGGTTTAATGACATTTGTTTATTAGTCTTTACCCTTGTCTGTGGCTTCTATGTTATGGAGTTAAATGTCTTTAATGTTGCAAAGCCAGAGAAGTGCCACTTTTTTCAGTGAATTTTCAGTCATTGTAGTAGGAATCCTGAATGAGAAGTTAGTAGTGTTGTAATTAGCTGCAAGTGCATAAAGCTAATAAAGTAGTAGATTACAAGTTGCTTGTTCTTATTACATATTTGTCTTCCTAATTTTGATGCTTGGGTTGCAAGTGGTCAAAGGAAGATACTTTCATGTTCAGGTTTTTTTGCATTTTTATCTCAGTTCTAGTATGTATATCTGCATTTGTCCATCAACTTTACCATTTATAATAGTGCAAAATAGCTGAGTGTGTTGATAAAAATGTAGGTCTGATGCAAGGTCTTAGAAATATAGGAATGTAAACTCTGCATTAGAATTAGACTCAAAAAGCTTAGGTTCACTTTTAATTTACACTGTTTTTTAGATCTTTCCTGCAAAAGGATTATTTAATATTTTTTCTCCCAATGCCTTCCTAAATTTTTGTTTGCTTTTAGGAGAATATGTAGAGAAGAAATGTTTTATTGTGGGGATTTTATAATTTTTTCCTGTTTGTTTCTGAGACTGTATAGTCTTAAACCTACTCCCGGCTCCAAAGTCAGAAAAGTAATTTTGCCCCTTAGCTACCCACTAGATGCTGACTTAGTGATCCCTTTTAACAGATGTTAAAGTATTCCTTTGCTCATCAGATTGCTGCAGGGATTAAACAAGCCGACATGAAAATGTGCACCTTTTATAGATACATTAACAGCAGCAGCAATAGCAACAAACCTAAGGATAGCCTGCTTTTAAAGTCCTTGTAGGAAACAATAGGAAGCGTACATACCAAGTAAATTAAATATACAAGGTTCGTTCAGTCATGGTGATTGTTGCTATTTAGAAATCCTGCATTAGTCCTGTGAACCCTGCCTCACATACCCCTGCTGAAGAAATTATCTCTGCACAATTTAACAACTTGTCATGTCCTTACAGTATTTCAATTGGTTGATGCAGCCCAAATGGTTTGTAAATGTGACAAAAACTTGTCTATTCCATGCTTTCATTGTAGAATGAAATCTAGAGGCAGGAGAGAGACACTTACTGAGAAGATACCGGTTATTTACACAGCTAAGACACTGGTGTTCAGTAGGTCCTGAACAGTGGAAGCATTTCTTGTGGCACGATTTGCAGGTCTGAATTTCCTCAAGGTAGTACTCAGTGGGAGAGCAGTATCCAGGTAACATACAGTGCCTGTCATGGTTCAATATCCATCCTTTTCTGCAAGTTAGGCAGACAGTGGAAGAAGAACAAGTCTGGCATGTCCTGTTGCATGCTGAAAAGGACAAACAGTGGGAATTTCACCATTTCTGAATTTGTCTGACTGTTATTACAGCTTTAATTTTTGAAGGAGCAGCTGTAATCTCAGGATAAAAACCTGAGGGAAGTAATTTTCAATCTTATGCAAGTAGTTCCTTATGTTTGCTTTGCATCAACACTGCTTTTGCAACAGTGCAACAGCAATTCTGCAGCCATTCTCAGCATTTTACCACAGTGATTGCCCTGAATAATAAACATAAGTATCTTGGCTACTTCTCTGCTTTCTTCAATTTTTGCTGTTCTACAATAAGCCAGATTATTTTTCTGCATTAGCTATCCTCTTCAACTCCAAGAGTTGAACTCACTGGTAACAACATTAGCTGTTAACTCTGGCCCTTAGGAGGTGACCTTTAAACAGACCCACTTGTATCTCAATACGCTTCTGGGGAAAACAACAGTTGCCAACCTTGGCAGTCTTTGGTGGCTTCTTCATAGTAACTCCCCTCAGGGCACTCTTTAAAACACATGCCATTGTAGAGGACAAACAAGCTAAAAGTGCACGCTGTGCAGTCATCAGAATTTGGCCCGTTGCAGTCCTTGCAGTCAGCATGGCAGGGAAAGCAGTGCTTGTCTTCAGGGTAGAAGTGTGAAGGGCATTCCTGTACACACTTCCCGTCGTACAGGAAAAACTCATCCATACACTCTACAGGGAACAGCAGAACATCAGTAAGCAAATGGGGAGCAAATTTTGACCTGTTCAAGTGCGAGAGAAGGTAAGTCCTAGGAAACATTAAATTCTGGATTGTATGCCATCACAGAAGTCATCAAAACACCTTGAGAAGGTAGGATTTCCTTTTTCAAACCTTTCTCCTCCAAAAGACGTATGTTGGCCCAATTCTTAAATGGTATCTTCTGTGCTAAAGCAAGAAAGTGTGAAAAAAAGTCATTTGCTCAGCTTTGGTGATATTAACAAAGCCATTTGACACTAATATATAGATGGCCTTTTTCTGACATTTTTCTGCATTATGAACTTCTTGCAAAATCAGGAATGGACAAATCTGAAATTTGTTTAGTTTATTATTGAAATATGAGTTTACCTAGAGTGTATTGGCCTAAATGGTTGTCTTTACCTAGAGCTGTGAATAAGTTGCTATTTTGAGTATAATATGTTTGTTTATGATTTGGTTTGTTGATTGTTGTTTTTTTATTTCATCCATATTTATGTTTCTAGAATGGCTTGCTCAGTATTAACCATCCTTAATATTTGGGGGGGGAGGGAATTTTGGAGGGGAGGATGCATTTAGCCTCACCTGAGTGTTGAAGACTTTCCTAATCTTTCTTTACAGGGATTTCTTTCTCTAACAGGAGTGGTCATTTGCAAAAATGGTAAGGAGGTGTGAAGTTCAACTCTGAAGAACCACAGGACCAGGCAAAGCAATGTGAAATCTTTACAGATCAATCATTTAATCTCATCACAATCTGTTTTAGAGATTACCAATTATATGCACATCACTTTTTTTTTTTTTTTTTTTTTTTGGCACATTACTGAATTTGGATTTGGTTTTCTGTCAGTCTCTCTTCAGACAGATCCAGGTGGATTTTATTCTACACAACAGCCGTTCTTTATAATACCTGTACATATTTCATCGTGAATACATTCTTGACACATTTCAGAGCAACGTTTGCAGATTCCTTCAGAGGCAAAATGCTTCTCTGAACAAGTAGATTTACATTCCCAGTGCTCCAGAAGCAAAGGATTTTTACAGGACAGGCATTGGGTGGCACTTCCCATGCATGTCTTACAGGATCCACTGCATTCCTTGCAAGTCTCAGTATCATTAAAATATCCCCTATGGAATGAAAAAAACACAAAGCAAATTGTTGGTCACTCCAGGCTATGAGAATTACAACTCTAAATAAGACTCACCCAGCACATATACTTCACTAGATCGAACATGTTTCTCACACAATTTTTTGCTCATCTTCCACTTAACTTCTCCTGTGTCTGAAAGCAGAAAATATACCTGCTTAGTGCTATGTGAAGGGCTTTCCTTTCTTCTTGTACGTGTTGTTCAAAAGTTCAAAAGTTATGTTGAACTTTTATGTCTTTGTTTCCCCCTTACATAAGATAGAAAGATATATAACATTTCAGAAAACATGCAATCTCTAGTCTTGTGCAGCTGACCTGCAATATTGATATCAAGGGAAGAAAGAGAAGGGTAACCTCAGTGGTTTTTGAGAGGAGAAAGAAAGAGATGACTGGAAATGTGAAGGGTAGGGAGAATGAGGGCAGGGATTGAAAAAAAAACCCAAAGCAGGATATTTACATAATACCTTGCCTTACTGACAGCGGGCTAGTGATGGCAAAGAGGGAGCACATTTTGCTGGTATCTGTGGTGTGAGAGCAAATGTGGAGATCCACAGCTGGGAGTACTAGTCATAAATATAGGAAAAAATCTGCACCTCTGCTTCAAGTGAAGATGCATAGAAGAGATGGTGATTTCAATCTGTCTACACTCTCAGAACCAATTGTCACAAGGTTAAAGAATGGGTAAATTGAGATTTTGAAATGATTGCTAATCCACAGAGCCATTGATGAAAACTAATTAAGAAGTTGAAACAGAAACTATTCTCACAATATGTACTTTACATTAACAAATTTGTTACTTCTTATGTGCTTCTCCTTCCATTCTTGGACATTATTTTTCCAAAGAAAGTCTGGGGAGATGCATAAGAAGCAAGGTTAGAGAAAAGGTACGAGGAGCCATGCCTGCCACCTATTTTTATCTTTTTTCATCCTCCAACTTTTATCGAGGTCCTTCAACTAGTTCTCACAGTCCTGTCATCTTTTCTTTTTCCAATGTTGACTACCCGGTTAGCCCAGTCTTTCAAAACTCCTCTGTCAGAGATTAATTGTGCAGTAAGTCAAACCTTTTTATCCCTTTTGTATCCCTTAAAAACATGTCCCCAAACTCAAGCCAATCCCCTTAACAGAGAGTCTCATTTTTTGCTCCAGTGTCTCAAGAACTTTATCTCAGAGTCTGAAACTGGAGTTTAAACCCTGTGAATTTTCCTCAGTGATGGGAAGCTATTATTTAGAGTCTTGAATTTTGGAAAAAAAGGGGGATAGCAACATCTGAAATTACTAGTGGGATATAAAAAAATTAATTTTGTTGTACTGATTGTTGGAAGAATAACTGGGAAACTAGTACTGACAAGAGACATATTAATGCCAAAACAATTAATGGTTGTATGCCTTAGTGTCTAATATTAAAAATTGTTTCTGGACTACAGTTGGCTTTATTGCAATTACCTTGCAATCACTGGGATATTTCCTGAAGAAGACCTGTTCCATTGGCCCTCATTGACTTATTCAACAAGATTACCAGGAAGGCAGTGGCAGAGAGATTGCAAGAAAAGCAGGAGCATCACAATTTTCTGAAGGAAAAAGGTTAACCAAGCAAGGCTTTTTTTCTGCATAGCACTTGTTTTATGTATATATACATAAGATGAATGCTGATTAAAAAAACATGGAAAAAAGAGAACCTGATCTACTCATGTGCCTGATTTAATTTATCCATTGCAGACAAATGGGACCCATATTAAATTCCACATATAAAAATTTATAAAAATAAATACAAACCAAAGAAAGAAACACACATCATTAAGCACTGTATTTACATATCATGACTCTAATACATTCATTGTCTGAGTTTATATCTGCCCTGTATTACTTGGAGGAAGGAACAAACTGAAGAATATCTAGAACTTTTATTATCATTTGCCATGAAGTACTATGTTCCTATTAAAGTCATTGAAGGCTGTTCCATTTTTCGTAGGATTTAATGTCTTATCTTCACTTTTGGTTTTTTTACTTTTTTCTCTAATTGAAAGAAAATACTGTTTATTCAGGCAGTCTGAAAACTACATTTACCTGAGTTTCTACTAGCATGTGTTACATTAAGGTCTTCCTTGAAAGTTTAATAGTGGATCTGAACTTTAAAGAGAAAGAGCACAGAGAAAAAATCAGGGATCATATAAGAGGGGTTACTTACTCAGGGCACTCCTGTAAACACCTGCCTTTGTGGAGGAAGAGCAGCTGGTTCTGTTCAGCCTGACACTTCTGACAGTGCCACTGGTCAGAGCACACCTCACAGTCATGCCCGCACTTCTCACACTCTCCACTTGCAATGTTGCCAAAATATTTGGGGGGGCACAGAGAAACACAGGTGTCATGGATAAGAAATTTTCCTGGCAGAAGAGCAACCCAGAGGGGTAAAGACATCAATTAGACCTATATTTAAAATATTTCTGCCTTGAATGGCTACAAAAAAAGCTTTGAGCTTCTCAAAATTCAACTTTGGTTCTTAAAAGCATTAATAAAATTTGCTTTCTTAAGACATTTCTCAAAATATTTTGCTCAGACTTCACTAACATTGACAATTAGAAGGAATATCAGGATTATCTAGGATGTCTCACTGAAGAAATCCCTATTCAGTAATTCTTGCATGATATCTACAAATTTTAATTGAAATGAAAGAAAAGGAATACCATCAACAATACTTTAACCCATATTGCCAAGAGCATGCCCTGTTGCCTGAATTCAACTATTCATTGTCTGATTGCCTCTTAAGCTGTTAAGGGATTTTGAGGCGACCACTGACAAAAACATTCTTTGGAAGCATGTAGGACACAAATGTAGTTGCTTACAAACTTATCGAAGGAAGCTGGAATGTTACCTTCTGAACATGAAGTACACACATCAGCAGATGTCTCACAGGTCATACATGAAGAGTCACAGGACAGCAATTTTCTATTTCTATCTGGGATGAAAGGGAAAAAAGTTACTTTTTTTACCATTTCGTTTTCTTAATTTCTCCTCCCTTTAGAAGGGACACTTTGTATGGCTTCTCCTGAAGTGTTTTGAAAATGCATCTCTGCAAATTTTTGGAATTCACAAAGTTGGAGAACTTAATGACTGTGCTTGACTCCTCTCTCCTAAATGGTAGGTTATGGGTTGTATTAAAGGAAATTATGAATGTTTTACTCATGTTCACTCAGGCATTGTTCTGTACTGTTCATCACAAATGAGAACAATAATAAGGTTATTTATTTTATAATTATCCCAGTAATCTTATTTTCAGTGTAGTGCTCTAAACCCAAATACAGATAGATTGCTAACAGAAAGATCTAGAAAATATGTACATTTGCAGACTTGGTTTAATGAGGTATTTCTTGGACATTTTGTATGTAATTGTTGTAGAACACCATCACCCTGTAACCTAAAAGTTCTGAGTCAGAAGGAGACAGAAATCGTGTAATCATAGAATATGTTGTTTTGGAAGGGACCACCAGTATCATTAATGTCCAACTCCTAGCCCTGTGCAGGACACCCCATAAGCTGAGAGCATTGTCCAAATGTGTCTTGAACTTTGTCAGACTTGGCGCTGTGTCCATTTCCCTGGAGAGCATGTTCCAGTAGTCAATCACCCTCTGGGTAAGAAATCTTTCCTGGTGTCCAGTGTAAACCTCCTCTGACTTAGCTTCATGCCTTTTTCTTGAGTCTTGTCACTGATCACAAGAGTGAAGAGATCCATACCTGCTGCTCCACTTCTCCTTGTGAAAATATGAAAACAACAATGAAGTCTCCTCTACTTTAAGCTGAGCAAATCCAGATGACCTTGGTCTCTTCCTATAAAGCTTTCCTTCCAGACCCTTCATCATCCTCATGGCTCACCTTTGGATGTTCTCTAATAGCTTATTGTCTTTTCCATATCTGCACACAGTCCTCTAACTGAGGCTGCATGAGTGTGGAGAAGAGCAGGACAATCCTCCTTTTGACCAGCTGTCAGTGCTGTGCTTAAAGCAGCCCAGCACACACTTGTCCCTCCTGGCTGCCAGGGCACACTGTTCACTTACATTCAACTTGCCATTGATCAGAGCACCCAGGTCCCTCTCCACTTCTCTTCAGCCTTCTGTTCCATAGTCTGTATAAGAAACTAGGGTTGCACTGTTCCAAGGTGCAGAATCTAACACTTGCCCAAATTAAAATTCATACTGTTGGTGATTGCCTATCTCTCTAATTTATCAATGTTTGAGAATAACACCTATTAATAGTTCTCCCCAAACTTACATACTGAGTTGTCCTATTGTTTCCTTCCAAAAGGGGACCTAATGAGTGTCAAATTGAGTTCTTATTACTGTGGAAAAGCAAATTTTGATTATGCTTTGCAGAGCCATCAGTTAGAAAATGACAAGGACGTTGGAGCATCATACCTAACAGAAAAAAACTCTCCTGTGCAATGTGACGGCATACCCAGCATGCAGCTCTGTATTTTGATACAAGCAAATTACAACAATGGCTAAATGTAGGTCTAATGAAAAAATAATTATGGACCAACAGACAACACACAGAAGCCTTTTGATTTTGCTGAAAATAGAAAATAAAAGACAAAACCAAAAGCTACTTGCAGGTTGAGCTGTGCACCTAATTTAGCACACCCAGTTCATCCTGACAGTTAAATATGTATGATTTTTGTAGGTTGATTGATGACAGTAATGATTAGCCAAATGCAGTGTATCATTAAATCATTTTGTTCTGCCTGTTATGGCTATATAGTTTAGAATACTGATATTTTGAATGAAAACCATGGAAGCAAATGCTTCAAGTATAAGGACCAGGGAAGAGAGCAGGAAACATATAAAGCCCTTTCCCATAAGGAGAAATGATAAGCATTATACTAAGCAGATGAAAAGTGTGTGTATGCATACCATACCACAGAAGAAGAAAAGAGAATAATAATAAAGATACAAATAAAAGAATATGAATGAGAGAAGTTAGGTTCACATTCAGTGTGACTGAGGATGGTCCATAACTATGTAATAACCACATCTGACACTACCATTAGCTGAGAAGCCTCAAAAACTCACTGAAATAAAAAAATAATCTCAATGTAACTACCCATGGAGAGCACAGCCGATTACAACCTGGGTGTTTAGCAGTAAGTCATTCAGCAAGGGCATGGTTAGTCACTCTTTACCAGGACAACTTGTGAATACTGCTTGTACAGGATCATGAAAGCCTGTTGTGTTGTTACTCTTCCTGGCAACTGGCACAACATAAAATTTACCCACATACACCTGTATCTTTAAAAGCAAAGTAATAAAACTTTACACAATCAGTAACAAAGGTATGCACGACTAGAGCCACTCAAGCTGCACGTAACACAGAGAACAAAAGTACAAAAGTCAAGAATGGGGGAAAAGGTAGGGAAGAGTCCATCGTAACTGCTGGGATTGGTCAATGGGATGAACCTGTCTCCTCCCCCTTGCTGACACCTGTTGGACAAGAATCATGTTCTCTTCTGGCAGAGCATTTTACTGGGGCTTAGACCTTCTCTGGGTATTACTTTGAATACATTTGTTCAGTCAGGTGCTATCACCAGCAGCCTTTGAAGCATAAGCTGTCACGAGTTTACGTGAATAAAGAGCGTTACTCCATAAACTGTCAGTGTGTGTTGGGCACTGGCACGGGCTGGCAGTGGGTAACACACTCCAGCAAAGAGGAAGAGCTGCTGAGGGGTCTCCCTTACACTGCTGGTTTCCCTGACTGAGTCAGTGGAAGCACCCTCTGACCCAGCAGGACTGCTCAGTGAAGGTCCCTCAGCAGGACACTGACAGTGCACAGGGGTCTCAGCTTTCCTGGGATGCTGACAAGCCAATCAAACACTAAGGGTTTCCCACACTAACACAGACTCTTGCAGACGTAATTTCTACAGCTCTTTTCCCCCTGCTGAATACATTTTTTTCCCTGTATTTCAGGGTACAATATGTCCTGCTAAAAGGACTCTACTGTCTATAATTGCCCCCTGATTCCAGAAGAAAGTTTGAGTATTTTTTAAGGTATGCAGCACATAAGCATTTTGATTTCCCTTATGCAGATAAGAGAAGATAACTGCTTATAAGTCTATATCTGCTTAATACAGATAACTGCTTACTTTTTTGAGATTCATTGTCAAAGAGTTTTTTGGAGACACTACTTCTTAGCTTCATCGTTTTCATTACTCGCCAGTATTTAACAAAACATTAAGAAGTGTCTTTAATTTCGCCTGTAAGAATATAAGAAATACTCCAGAAAAGTTGGCTGTTATAAGGTTTTCTATTATCCTAACATTATTTTTGCAGAGCTTCTCTCTTTTGCTGTTTTTGAATGAAGATCAGGTGAAGTTAAGCAGAGAAGTTGTTAACTACTGGTGAAGAATATTTAAAGGAGCTCATTCTTTCTAAATGTTTGAAGCCTTACAATGCAAAAATAAAGATTTTTTTTTCTTGGGGTTTTTTTTTTTTTTTTTTTGTGAACTAGGTTTTAGTCCCCTTTCCCTTTTGCAGTATGTCCTCTTTTTTGTAATAATTACTAGTTGCCACCAGAGGGGAATGTACACAAGCATTCTGCTGACAACAGAAACAACAGTTAGTTTCCAGTCAAATGTAAGTATTTGAATTTCCCAATTTAAATATTGACAGAAGAAATTAGTAAGAATTATTT